ACTGCCCCTACTTAGAGAGAGAGTGTGTGTGTGTGTGTGTGTGTGTGTGTGTGTGTGTGTGTGTGTGTGTGTGTGTGTGTAGCACGGTTACCTGCGTTAGTGTTGGTAGTGTTGGAGCCCTGCAGCAGCACCGTCAGTGTCTCCATCACCAGCCAGGCCAGCTGCTTCTGCTCATCTGCTACTGTGTTGTTCTTACAGTCAGCTGCATGAACAGTCATTGGTTCGTGTTACAGAGAAAACGTACAAATATGTTTTATTAAGGTGGTAATAAAAATGGAACGATGATGAGATGAGTTTTATCTCCAGAAAGTGGCAGAAGAGACAATTTTTGCCTAACTAAGCAGTTCAGATGATCTGAGCCTAAAAGAGAAGTTCATTAGAACAAGAACAAAACAAGAAGACTGGTGCGAGAGAGAGAGAGAGAAACAAATAAAGAGGAAAGACAGAAAGAAAGAAAGAAAGAAAGAAAGACAGAAAGAGAGACAGAAAGAGAGAAAGAAAGACAGACAGAAAGAGAGAAAGAAAGAAAGAAAGAAAGAAAGAAAGAAAGACAGAAAGAAAGAAAGAGAGAAAGAAAGAAAGACAGAAAGAAAGAAAGAAAGAAAGAAAGAAAGACAGAAAGAAAGAAAGACAGAAAGAGAGAAAGAAAGAGAGAAAGAAAGAAAGACAGAAAGAAAGAAAGAAAGAAAGACAGAAAGAAAGAAAGACAGAAAGAGAGAAAGAAAGTGAGAAAGAAAGAAAGAAAGAAGAAAGAAAGAGAGAAAGAAAGTGAGAAAGAAAGAAAGAAAGAAGAAAGAAAGAGAGAAAGAAGAAAGAAAGAAAGAAAGAAAGAAAGAAAAAAGAAAGACAAAGAAAGAAAGAAAGAGAGAAAGAAAGAAAGAAAAAGAGAGGGAGAGAGAAAGACAAAAACAGGAAAAATAGAAAAAGAAAGAAAAAAGAGAGAGAAAAGAGAAAAACAGAAAAAGGGAACAATCAAAAATGAAAGAAAAGAAAAAAAAACAGAAAAGCAGAAAAAGAGAAAAAGAAAGAGAAGCCCTGAGACTTCCCTTTCTTTCACACCAGGTAACGTTGCTGCTGTTCGTCCTCTGGGGGGGGGGGGGGGGGGGGGGGGGGGGGGGGGGGGCTAACCCAATAACCAACAGAAACGAGTCAGGCGTAAACACTCCAGCATCGGCACTTCCCGCTGAGCTGAATATTCCTAGTCTCAGGAGGACCACCAGCTACGACTAGAAAACCAGAGTCACCCTGAAAAGTGTGCAGAAGCACCAGCTACGGTGGTCTACCGGTGAATGGACCCGCTCACCTTGGTCATTATTGTGTGCTTGTTGTTGTGAGCTTGGTTCTTTGAGCAAGGCAGCGTATTTGTGCAGCAGGTTGACCAGCACCTCCAGCAGGCCGACCTCCCGCAGCACGTCGCTGAACACCGCGTCGTGTCGGGCCAGCTTCAGCAGCGTTCGTACCGCCGTGATGCTGCAGCAGAGCGACGTGCTGGACTTGAGCAGCACGCTAACGCTGAAGAGCTCCTTACACGGCACGTAGTTCAGGCTGAACACCACGAACTCCAGCAGCTCAAAGTACTTGGCCTGGGCCTGGGCCAGCTTGGGCACACGCTCTGCAAACTGCGACAGGGTGTGCTGCGACTCCAGGATGAAGTAGTTGGCCGGCTCCGCTGCGTAGATGTTCCCTACGGCGTCCAGGAGCATGCAGGCCAGGCGGCTCGTTTTGGCCCGCAGGAAGGCGTTCTGGAGCACGGAAAAAGCCTGGATGTTACGGACCGTGTGGCCTGGAGGGAAAAGAAGGTGAATGTCGAGAGATTCCAACCGACTCAAGTCTGTTCAATAACTCCAGGTGAGGTGCTAATCCCACCAAAGAAACCCAACCAACTCTAACGGCCAGTTCAATAAAAACCGTTTGCTTTCTATTAAATGTGTGAAGATTCAGCGATAAAGAGGACAGCTGGTGAACACAAACGCGTGATTCTCTGATGTCGGACATTCATGACGCTGCACAAAAACAACCTAAAGTTTAAAAAACAAACAAACAGGAAGTTCAGACCGAGAGAGAAAAACGAGTCAGAAAAACACACAACGGCACAAAAATCAGGAAAGACTCCAATTCTAGTGATTTACCAAAACAAACAAGCAGTTTATGTTTCAGTTGCTGGGAATTACCACGTTTCTCTCAGGCTTCGGTATTTAAAGCAACGCCTGAAGCTGCTAAACAAAAAAACAGGAAGCATCATTGACAAGCGTCCTCGGCGTTGTGATGTTTTTGTTCGCTCATCAACACAGCAAACAAAACCTCCGTGACACCTGAAGCTTCTTCTGCTAGAACAGGGGTGTCAAACTCATTTTAGCTCAGGGGCCACATTGAGGGAAATCTAGTCCCAAGTGGGCCGGACCGGTAAATAAAAAAAAACTTCAGATTGTTTTCTTTGTTTTAATACAATCAATATAAAACAAGGCTAGAGCCTGAGGACAGTGTAGTAAAAGTACAACACCTGAAGTGTACTTGAAAATTTGAAAAAAAAAAAAAAAAAAAATCAACAAATAAAAAAAAAAACATTCCTTAGTGATTTAAAAAGCTAAGAGATCACATGGCTAGATCAGTTTCATGCAGCACTTAAAGTATATTTGACTCATTTTACTTTACATCTTTTAGCTTTCACCAGCACATCAGTATCAGAAGTCACATCCTGAGTGGCGGCCAACTTCAGGATGTGATTCAAGTTCTTGTGTGGGCCTTGAGTGCAGCTTTGTTGCATTTATACTCATTACAGAGGAAACTTTCTCACAAAGATACGTTTATTTTCACTCTACATTGTAATAAAGTTTCTACATTGAAAATAAAGTTTACACAACCATCTCGCGGGCCGGATTTAACCCGCTTGCGGGCCGGATTTAACCCGCTTGCGGGCCGGATCCGGCCCGCGGGCCGCATATTTGACACCCCTGTGCTAAAGCATTCATCCTAAAAACAGATTTAATCCCACAGATTAACACTGGAGGAACAGGATAAGTGCTGAAAACAGCCAGTCACACACAACCTGTGTGTGTCTGGCTGTGTTTAAATAAATTCGACATCATTCTGTTTGTATTTAAACGACCTGTTGGTGGTGGAAACCTGCGACTTGCTCCATAAACCAGGTGCTTCTTCAGCGTACGAGTCACAGAACAGACAAGAAAACGGGTCGACGCGATGATAATAATAATAACAGCAGCAGGAGGCGGTGGGCTGGATTAGGGTTTAATAACAGCTACCTCCGCTTCGCTAACCAGCTAACCGACCCTTCCTTTGTGACTTTTATCATCTCCTTACATCCATCGAGTCTCTGAGGAGAAGAAACAAGCAAACCAGAAGAAATCTAACTCAATGCTAGGCTGAAGTTTCCTCCCAGGTTAAAGTAGAATTGAACGTAAACCAGGTCAGACTGGTTCATGAGACAGAATGCAGTTCAGCGGGAACGTCTACAGGCCGACAGCTAAACTGGATTATAATCCATCTCTGACTAATCCCACCCGCAGCAGCACAGCAGAGCCCAACGACACCCAAACACTGAAACCCTAACCCAAACCCGACGGACTCATCGCACTCAAATTATTAATCACCCCCCAAATATTTTCTCATCGGATCCGCACGAATCACGTGGGCGACCCGCTCTGCATTCAAAACGGCGAATTTCACCAACAGTTGAGGGATTTTCATGTCTGCAAAAGGTCATGTGACGTCTTCAGGGATGAGCCACAACACCCGTTTGCGTTCTGGAAGGTAGGGGCACCGTGACAGGCAGCCATGGTATCACCTAGCAGGTTGAGCTTCAGGGGTCGGAGATTAAGGCCCGACTAGGAGATAACCGCGTGGTGCGCAAGCAGACGTAGATGTTAGAGCTGATGTCAGCCGCAAATCTGCAGCTTCACTCGCTTCTGGAAACAGAGCAATCAGGTGGAGGACCAGAACGCAGCCTTCGATGATACGCCTCTGCTCGTTCAGGTCTAAATATCTGCTGTAAAAGAGGCCGTCATCAAAGAACGGAACAGCCCCAGCGGGCTCTCCAAACACCATCCCTGACAAAGCTGCACAGAGCGAACCAACGTAGGGATGGGTACCTTTGACATTTGAATCGATACCGGTACTTAACGGAACCAATTTTCGATACTTTTGAGTGTTTATTATTTTAATTCTCTTTTATAATTAAATATATATTTTTCTCAATATATAACAATATTTGATAAATATCACGATGAATAACATTCAACTGTTTGTATTTTAACATCGTCCTTGTAGTTTTATAAGCTGATAATTAAACTGAAGCAAACATCTTTACTGTGAACTAAATTTACTGTGTACCTTCATTCCTTTTGCCGTCCTTATTCATTTGATTTTTCCTACTGGGAAGTTAGAATTTCCGAGGAGAAAGCGAACGCACCTTAAAAAGTACCGAATTCGGTACCCATCCCTAGTGAGCAGAGAGAAGAGCACTGGTACCTTTCCCAGACGGCTGAGGGAGAACAAACCCAGGCAGGAGGAACGGGGCTCCAGTTGTCAGGCCAGCAGGTTTCAGCTCCGTCACCCCGTACGTGCACAAGCACGTGACCAAGTTCACCAGGTCCTTCAGCGCATCTTTTGAGTCGTCCTCCTTAGCCTGCTCCAGTCTGGAAACAGGAAGAAGTTTTACGGAAGTTCATCCACGACAACCCACATGTAGAGCTTCAGATGTACCTGAGCATGAGGTCACAGAGGAATGCGTAGCCCTGGCACATGCGAAAGTCATCCAGCAGGGTCTGGGACACGTCGCTGGAGTCTTTCAAGAAGCAGGAGAGGCCAGCGAACATCTCAACGATCTCCAGAGAGGAGAGGTCTTCCGACTGCTGCATGTTCTGAACACACGTGGCCAAACATTCCTTCTCTGGATATTGAGGAGGGAGTGGGAGAGGGGTTGGGAGGTTAGTCACGTGCTACAGCATGCATGAAGCCACTTAGAACATTAAGGACTGATAAACGAGAGAACGCTGTGCAACAGGTGAAAGGATCCTTTAGGAAAACACCCTGCAGCACTAGAGCTAAGCGGGGTATTTCTGAGGAGTCGCTGCGCTTCTGCAGGCGAGCTACCGCCGGGCTTTGTTCCTGTAAGATACTAGGGCTGCTCGACTAATCCAATTTTACTCACAGCTTTGATCTGGAGTTTGAACGATTATAAAAACAAAACAAGCCGATAATTTGCTCCTCCCTCGTTGTTTACTCCGATTTGCAAATTGAGCACACCTCACAATAGCTTTGTCGCCATTTCAGACCCCCTTACCAAGTGAACAACCAAGAAACATTTCTGGCAACCCTTCGCTACTTTCTGGGAAACTGTCGCTGATATTTCCAGTTCCAATTCAACGTGAATTTAAAAAATCGAAGTCTCTATTTCAGTGAAAATAATCGCCATAATCGAGCCGCCCTAATGGTTCTCATGCTTGAAGCCAAGCCCTCTCCAAAGGTCAGGGCGTTCCAGGAGCTGGGATGTGTCCCCGTAAACTTTTACCGTGGATATATTTGACCACGTTGACGCTGAGGCCGTGGCGGGAGATGGTGGTGAGCACCTCCCCAGCACTCCTCCTCCACGGCAGGTTGTGGGGGGGGCACCAGGAGGTTATGGCACTGAATAGAAGTTGCAGGTCATCTTTTTGGGCAAGTTCCTCCGCTGGAGACACGAAGGTGCACAGCTTCACCAGGATCTGCAAAACACAACCAAAAAAACAGGGAAATTAAAGAAGAACGGAAATGAAAGACGTGCCAGGAGACGGGAACCGGTCCTCTTTTCACCTGGACGAAGACATTCTGGAGCAGCGCCCGGCGGTCAGCCAGGGGCAGCTCTGGCTGAGACTGGCCCTGGCCCGGAGTCTTCTCCTGGTTGGGTGGGGGTTGCGGAGGGGGTGGAGTGGGGCCCACGGGGGCTTCGGCCATGTTGGGAAGGTCAAAGAACAAGTAGAGGCATTTCACCAGGGTGGAGGGAACGGACATGGTCGTCATGCAGTCCACAGTTTTCTGTCGAGGTGCAAAGAAACCCCAAAAGGTCATTTTGAGTCAGATACTTTCATCTTTGTACAGAAAAATAGACAAATAAACAACACATCTGGTTCTGTAGTAAACAACTGTAGTATTGACGGAAAGTTTAATGCAGAAAGACGTGCAACAAAAGCAAACTCCTGCAAAGGTCCAGACATCCTACCTATCACACACCTCAGTAGAGATGCTAATGAGCCACGTGGCATGGAAGCTAAACTGTTGATCTGAGTTGATCCAGCATGTTTTAGCTGTTTCCCTGCTCCAACACAGATTATTCACCACTTCAGGGTAATCCTGATGATTACCAGCTGGATAGAAGTCCTCGGGGGAGGGGGTCGTCCACCCCAGCCCTTGGACCACCTGAAGTGTGTACTTATTGTGTTGTTACTGAACCAGAGCGTGTGTGTGTGTGTGTGTGTGTTCAATCAGTCTTCTCAGCCAGCACAAGTGTCACACACACACACACACACACACACACACACACACACACACACACACACACACACACACACACACACACACACACACACACACACACGTGGGATAGCTAAATCTTGTAGCGTAAACTGGACCCATGACAGCTCTGAGCTACCTGTGGGGTGAGCTGGGCTGTTTCTACCCACCTGTCCAGATGAGGCCAGCAGGTTGATGGTGGTCAGCAGCATCCAACCACGGCTTGCTTCCTCACTCTGGTTCACCTCCAGGAACTGGACTATGGCTCTGCTGGCTGCCTCTGCAGGAGGGCACACAAACAGTCACATGGGTGGAGGTGACGGCTCACCTGTGTGGGCCGACCGTCGACGGGACATTAATGCCATGAGGAGCAGCTTTGGGTTCCTCAGACTGTAGCTGCTTGGACCAAAATAACATCATTAGTCCTGATGACAGAGCTGCTGGATGGCTCACTGAAGACCAGCTGGAGAAGCGTGTTGTCAGTGTGACGCTACAAGATCAGAGGCTGTTCCAAAACAGCACACACACACACACACACACACACACACACACACACACACACACACACACACACACACACACACACACACACACACACACACACACACACACACACACACACACTGCTCCTTCACAAACGCTCACAGCAAACCTGTCCTCGCTGAAACGTTTTTTTAAGAGTGATGAAAGCAGAAGTGTGATGACTCACCTGTGGACTTGTTGGAAGCCCGTCTCCTGATCTCGGTCACCATGAGCCGGGACACCTGGGTGGTGAACTGCAGCAGGTCCGAAAACTTCTCCATCATGCTGCTGGGGGGGGCATTCCCAAACACCTAAAGCACACGGATCAGCTCCCATTTATTAAAAAAAACTATAAACCAAACAAAGCCCTATTTATCCAATCAATCCCAGAGTCAGGATCCAGGATCCCAGAGTCAGGATCCAAGATCCCAGAGTCCAGAGTCAGGATCCAGGATCCAGGATCCAGAGTCAGGATCCAGGATCCCAAAGTCCAGAGTCAGAATCCAGGATCCCAGAGTCAGGATCCAGAATCCCAGAGTCAGGATCCAGGATCCAGGATCCCAGAGTCCAGAGTCAGGATCCAGGATCCCAGAGTCAGGATCCAGAATCCCAGAGTCCAGAGTCAGGATCCCAGAGTCCAGAGTCAGGATCCAGGATCCAGGGTCCCAGAGTCCAGAGGCAGGATCCCAGAGTCCAGAGTCAGAATCCAGGATCCCAGAGTCAGGATCCAGAATCCCAGAGTCCAGAGTCAGGATCCCAGAGTCCAGAGTCAGGATCCAGGGTCCCAGAGTCCAGAGTCAGGATCCAGGATCCCAGAGTCAGGATCCAGAATGCCAAAGTCCAGAGTCAGGATCCAGGATCCCAGAGTCAGGATCCAGGATCCCAGAGTCCAGATCCAGGATCCCAGAGTCAGAATCCAGGATCCCAGGGTCCAGAGTCAGGATCCAGGATCCCAGAGTCCAGAGTCAGAATCCAGGATCCCAGAGTCCAGAGTTAGGATCCAGGATCCCAGAGTCCAGATCAAGGATCCCAGAGTCCAGAGTCAGAATCCAGGATCCCAGGGTCCAGAGTCCAGAGTCAGGATCCCAGAGTCCAGAGTCAGAATCCAGGATCCCAGGGTCCAGAGTCAGGATCCAGGATCCCAGGGTCCAGAGTCAGGATCCAGGATCCCAGAGTCCAGAGTTAGGATCCAGGATCCCAGAGTCCAGAGTCAGAATCCAGGATCCCAGGGTCCAGAGTCCAGAGTCAGGATCCCAGAGTCCAGAGTCAGAATCCAGGATCCCAGGGTCCAGAGTCAGGATCCAGGATCCAGGATCCCAGAGTCCAGAGTCAGAATCCAGGATCCCAGGGTCCAGAGTCAGGATCCAGGATCCCAGGGTCCAGAGTCAGGATCCAGGATCCCAGAGTCCAGAGTTAGGATCCAGGATCCCAGAGTCCAGAGTCAGGATCCCAGAGTCCAGAGTCAGAATCCAGGATCCCAGGGTCCAGAGTCAGGATCCAGGATCCCAGAGTCCAGAGTCAGGATCCCAGAGTCCAGAGTCAGAATCCAGGATCCCAGAGTCCAGAGTCAGGATCCAGGATCCAGGATCCCAGAGTCCAGAGTCAGAATCCAGGATCAGGGGCGCTAAATTTTCTCGTCGGGCGGTAAATACTTGACGACTTACCGCCCGGGTGGCGCCCAAGCTTTATTTGTCATTTACACACCGGCTTTCACCTACATCATGGCCCCGCCCTGTAGGAAGCTGCCGTTTTCGTTTCGCGCGCGTGAACCTGCGCGCCTCTAGCCACGTACTGCACTTGTACGATTCGTGCACGTCCTGCACGATTCTAGTTATTGTCACGTGAACTATAAGTTCACTATTAAAGACGAAGTGGAACCACGCTAGAAACACACAAGCACGCAGGAAGATCGCGCCACCACAGGGATTGGATTTCTTGATGAATTCTCCGGCAAAACGCTTTAAAACTGGTGAGGAGAAGCGAGACAGTTCGAAACGGTATGAAGCAGAGAAGCGTGTGCGTAGGTGGAATGATTCTTGGCGGTTTAAAGAAGACGGTAGGCGTGGAGAATGGCCGTATTTGAGTTGAGTAGCGGCTCGTCTGGAAAACAGACGAGAGCAGACGGAAGCAGCAGGGGGAGTGGCTGAAAGCCGGCGTTTAACGCCGGGGACACACCGGCCGCGGAAGCGCCCGAAGCGAATCGCTCACGAAGTCCGGCCGCTGCTCGCTGCTCCTCAGTTCAGACGCGCCCCATTCGAGGCGCGCCTCGGCTCAGCTGTAGTTTTTCTTTTAATTACTTGGTGTCCTCCATTTCCTCAGCTCTTTTCCTCTGTGTGTGTGTGTGTGTGTGTGTGTGTGTGTGTGTGTGTGTGTGTGTGTGTGTGTGTGTGTGTGTGTGTGTGTGTGTGTGTGTGTGTGTGTGTGTGAGAGAGAGAGAGTGAGAGAGAGAGAGTGAGAGTGAGAGTGAGAGTGGTGTGAACCAGTTGTTTCTGCCAGTTGAATCTCTTGGACTTACCTACATGTGTAGCTCGGGGGTGACGATGGATGAAGATATGCGTTAGCATTCACACTTGTTCAATTTTCAATTTTAATTCTGGTGCCTGTTAGCAGCAGAAACACATCCTCACGCGCTTGTGGAAATCATATTTTCTATATGAAAACATGACTGTAATAATAAGTAAAGGTTATCAGCTGTTCAGTGTGCTCATAGGAAACGTGACAAAAGAACACAAAACACATTTCTCCTTATGGCCTATATTGTTGTTATCATCAACGTAACATGATTTACAGAATACACGTGACCAACTAACATTTCATGTTCTACCACCGGATGTTTGGATCAAAATGTGAACCAATCAGATCTTAGATCAGGTGAGAGCCAGGCGTTTCCCATCATCCTCTAGGTTTTGCAGCCAGTAGAGAGCAACTGCAGCGCCTTGCTCCAAAATCTGCAGCCGCCTTGATCTCACGAGGTTATCGATGCCTACGTATGCATGACGTCAGAGCAAGTCGGGTCAATTCGGACACAAATCTAACCGGCATGCGCTGCTCGCCAATCACCGCTGGTCTAACCTGCGCAGAACTGGCTTATCTCAAACACAGTCAATGGCTCGAATACAGCAAAGCGGCGTTGGTGATGTACTGCGTTGTATGCCGGAAGTATGCGACGACAAAATCGTGTTTTGTTGAGGGAACAAACAAATTCAAACTTGAATACGTTATTATATTTGTGAATGTGTACAAAATAAAGGTTTATTACATTTAAAACGGTTCAGTTGTTATTTTGACTCGTTTTGGCGGCTGACCAGCGGGGCCGGTAGATTCTTGGCGGGGCCGGTAAATACTCAGAGTTACCGGCCCGGCTGGCCGGTTGGTTTTGAAGTTAATGTCCACCCCTGAGGATCCAGGATCCAGGATCCCAGAGTCCAGAGTCAGAATCCAGGATCCAGGATCCCAGAGTCCAGAGTCCAGAGTCAGGATCCCAGAGTCCAGAGTCAGAATCCAGGATCCAGGATCCCAGAGTCCAGAGTCAGGATCCCAGAGTCCAGAGTCAGAATCCAGGATCCAGGATCCCAGAGTCCAGAGTCAGAATCCAGGATCCAGGATCCCAGAGTCCAGAGTCAGGATCAAGGATCTAGGATCCCAGAGTCCAGATCCAGGATGCCAGAGTCCAGAGTCAGGATCCAGTGGCTGGGTCTCCAGCTGCACAGGCAAAGGTGGAACACGTCAGAACTTTGGGATAACTTACGAGTGAATCACAGCTCTGAAGAAGAAAATATCATTTCTATAGCGCCTCTCAAGATAAAAATCACGAGGCGCTTCACAAAAACAAAAAATGTAAAAATATTAAAAAGAATTTAGAAAATGATTAAAAACATATTTTAAATGAGCAAAAATACACAATTGTGATTAAAAAATATAAAGAAAGAGAGAGAATGAAAAGGAAAGAGGGAAATCAGTGGATCCTGAGGAAGGTGGACTAGGTGGGGAGAGCAGAACAAGGAGAGGGTGACGCAGGTCACACCAAAGCTTGAACAGGTGAGTTTCAGCTGCTTGTTAAAGGAGACCACTGGGTAATTAGCTGAGGAGTTAACATCTACTTGGTGAGATCCTCCAGTGTGATGGGAACACACCCAGCTGCAGATTATTTTATAACTTCTTTTCTGTTCCGGTTCATCTAACTGTAGGATTCAGCAGGATGCCTTCTGACTACAAATTAATCAAATTCAAACCTGCCATCTTGTGCTAGGAACACGGGGTTGGTGGTATGTATGTAGGGTAAGTTGTAAAATAATGTCAAACAAATCTGAGATTTGTTATTACTTGAAGTTTACACCACTGATGACATCTGAATGGTTTTCCTTGTAATTGTTTTATTATAACACCTTTAATTCATTATTATAACACGATTCATAAAAATAAATCTTAGATAAAAATCATCAAACACACAATTCAGGAAAAATTTGTGTTTCTATATCTGGTTTCATGCAACTGATATTGTTAAAATATGCATTATGGTTGGTCTGTAATTTCACCCAGACAACGAGGAAACTGGAAGATGTCTAATTTCCCCGTTTTACTGGAGGTAATCAGTCAAATCACTGTGATTCTGGATCCGACAGTGTCCACCCTGGGATAGGGAGATCGGGGGTCAATTCACCGTTGGGTCGTACCAAAGACTTTAAAAATGGGACCCAACGCCTCCGTGCTCGACACTCAGCTTTAAGGGTGTGGATTGGAGGGTTAAACCACCACATAGCTCCCGAGCGCAGCCACTGCTGCAGCTCACCGCTCCCGTCCGTGGGGACGGGGTCAGATGCGGAGATGAATTTCACCAGCATGTGATGATGACTTTGGGACGTTACGTTTAAACGTGACTTTGTTAACGCTGTGGGCCATTTCCTACAGCTGTGGTGCAAAATAAAAGCCTGACTCAGGTCATAAGATCTAGGAAATATAAGGTTGGATAGACACTGTACAGGTGGAACAGGGAAAATCGGAATCAGGTGCTAATGTTCATTTTCTATCACTAATCCATCCTAAAAGGTGAAACTAAATTCTAGACTCTGTAGGTGGCTTTCCAGGAGCACTCGGTCCGTTGCAGCTCGGTCTGACCACTGTTTGGTAGGTGCCCTCTACTATCTCTTTACTTTACTCTGCTGGAGACCAGAACGCACAGCGACTCCTCCTTCTACACAGGAGACAAAGAGCTGAGACCATCAGCGTTCACCTGCCTTTGCACTGAGCCCTGAAGGTTCCTTACCCTGTTGAATACAGGAAGCATCATGTAGAGCTTCTCCTCCTGCTCCTTCTGGGTCATATGGCGAGGAGGGTGGCACAGTTCTGAGAAGAGGCGTCGCAGGTGCATCAGGCCGAGCGCGTTGTCCTGGGGGCTGCACTCCTCCTGCCGCGGCCGGCCCATGATCCTTTTCACCATGTTCATCTTGAGCGGTTTGGTCAGGGCAAAGGCGAGCCTGCACGGACGAGAAAAACCAGAGACAAGCGTCAAACGTGGATGCATCCACGCTGGACTTCTCACCTCGGAATATAAAACCAGCTGTGATCATTCATCATCCATGCCTGCCGAGAAGCTTGATGACTGATTTCAAATCAGAAAATTCACTCATTTTATGGACCGTTCGCCTCTTTAAAAACATTTAAAGAGCAAGTCACTTTTTTTTACTGAAACTATATAAGTTTGAAGTTGTCACACGGAGGAGGGGTGACGTCAGCCGGGAGGTCAGGTGTTGTGAGAAATCGTGTTCCTCTGAAATATTCTGTCCCCCCGTGTCGAGAGGTCGCACTTCAGGTTATCTTCACAACATTTGTGATCGACTTTTATGGGACAATGATGTAATGTAATAAAGTCATGCTTGTGCTGTTTTTATATCTGTGTCTAGGGGTGCAACGATACTACTACCGATACGTGGAGCTGAATACTCGCCGATACCGATAGGGATGGGTACCGAATTCGGTACTTTTTAAGGTACCGACCAAGCACCGATTCACGTTATTTGAAACGGTGCCTCGTTTCGGTACCCGTCCTTCACAACGAGAACTTGCCTAGACAGCTGCGCATGCGCAAGAGCGTTAAGTCGTCGGTCGCTGCAAGCGAGTTGTAAACAGAGCAGCATGGTAGAAAGAACGCACGCTAAAGCTTGGGTCCACTTCATTAAATGTGATGGGTAACTGGGTGATGATGAAACCAGCGACAACGATCTAAGTGAGACATCCTCATCTTAATCTGCTCCGGTAGGTAAATAAAATGTTTAAGATAACGTTAGCTTGATTTTTTAGCTTCCATTTCACTAATGGTGTGTTCGCTTTCTCCTCGGAACTCCGAAATTCCGACTAGAAGAACATGAACGCGCTCTAAAGTTTGGATTCACTTTACTAAATGCGACGGGTGATTGGGTGAAGATGAAACCAGCGGCAACGATCTAAGTGTGAGGCATCATCGTTTTAATCTGCTCCAGCAGTTAAATAAACTGTTTAAGATAACGTTAGCTTGATATGTTAGCTTCCATTGCCACCATTATCAGCTAATGGTGCGTTCGCGTTCTCCTCGGAAATTCTAACTTCCCAGTAGGAAAAATCAATTGAAAAAGGACGGCAAAAGGAATGAAGATATGCAGTAAATTTAGTTCACAGTAAAGATGTTTGCTTCAGTTTAATTATCAGCTTATAAAACTACAAGGACGATGTTAAAATACAAACAGTTGAATGTTATTTATCGTGATATTTATCAAAGATGGTTATATATTGAGAAAAATATATATTTAATTATAAAAGATAATTAAAAATAATAAACACTCAAAAGTATCGAAACTTGGTACCGTTAAGTACCGAATCGATTCAAATGTCAAAGGTACCCATCCTTACCGATTACCGATACCGATACTTCTACTACACAAAAAAAATGCAACGATTTGGAAAACAGATTTTATTTTCTTCTCTGCTTTCAACAGGAAAAGACTGAGGTAGATAAAAAGTAACATATATGAATAGAAATCATCACAAAACCAAAATCTTAGGTGAACAGAAATGACAAGTTACAGTGAAGCCATTTTCAAGCAACTGCATTGGTATCGGTTCCTGGTATCAGTTAACTTTTACCGATACCGATACCAGTATCGGTATTGGTGCATCCCTATCTGTGTCATGTATCATATGATATGTGACATCTATATGTCCTCCTTAAAACGATAAAAAAGGTTCAGTAGAAACATTCCTGTCCACTCTTTACAAGCTTATTTATCATTTACAAAATCATGAAAAAACATGTAATCTCACTCAGTTGAACCATCGTTTTATTAGAGGTTGTTTAGTCCTCATATTGGACAACACGTTCTGTGAATTAGGAAATATTTGCTCCTGACTGACGAAGGGAAACAGAATATTTTAGGGGAACATAAGATGCCACAACACCCGTTTCAAATGGATCATGGTGTGTTTGATGTAAAGAGGCTGACACTACCAGCTAATGTTTATGGCTGCTCGTTAGCCACGGCTGGTGAAGGAGGGTTGGCGAGTCGGGGACACGCTGTGGAGATCAAGTAAACAATGCTGACTTTGCCACTTGATAATCGTGGCTCACGGCTGGCGTGGTAGAGATGGGCGTCACGAGCTACTAGTGAGCTGTAGCTAGAGCCGGGGGACACGCCGTGCATGCTGCGCGTAAACCCCCAACGTTTACTAGCTAAAGGAGACCCAAGTCAAAATTTATCATTTGAGAAGAAGTCCTCAGAGAAGCACGTCTTCTCTGTAACGCGTGGAGAACTACATCGCTGTCAGTAAAGTGTTGTGGAGATAAAGTAAACAACGCTGATTTAGCCGCTGGCTAGCGGATGAGCGCTGGAGCGTGTTGGGAGAGACGGCAGGCTGCGGGAAGAGAGGAGACTTGAGTAGAAGGACTTTGGCATGCACATGTTGGGACCGGATCAGGCGATCTGGTACTGAGAAAAGACGAATGAGCAACTTGAGGCGAGTTTGGGAGTCAGAGACACTAATCGGAGGCTGGCGTCCAGCTAATAGTGGGCGGGGACGTGATGACAACCAGAGAAATTTGATGTCTTTCAAATTAATTGTTTAGTATTCAAACTAACAAGCACAGCAATAATGTAGCAAGTCTCTTCTAGAATAGAAAATAAAGAATAGAATGGATTTTATTGATCCCATAAGCTAGTATCTTTGACTTTGACCACTAAAAACCACAAATAAAAAAATAAAAAAACTTGGGTTCCAGCACTAAGCAGCATACTGCAAGAGACACTGACATGCAATGTAAATCCAGTGTTGTACGAGTATTTCACACATACTGAGTATTGCATTGGTGTCATTGACTACGTTTACATGCAGCCAATATTCGAGTTATGATCGGTTAAGGTCGGTATTCGGGTTTCTGAGTTGATCAGAATAACCCGTTTACAAGCACAAATAGAAAGAGTTACCTCTAACTTGCATAACCCGATGTAAATGCGGATGTTGGGGTAGCGTCAGGACGTATGGATTACATCCTGACGCAATATGCGTCATTTCCGGTTCTTCTCGTTCCGGTATCCGTGAAAACAACATTTTTCCCAGTTCGGAAGAGATAGCGACCGCGTTTGTTTGCGCTTTAGTTTCCTCGTCACTCCGAAAGTGTGGTGCTGTGCCGCGACTCGCCATTTTGCTCCCAACTTGTTGTTTACTTCCGGAGTTCTGGCACATACAAGACGTCTCGCTACTCAAAGGACCAAGATTCCTTGCGAACAGAGCATGCGCAGAACACACGCTTTGATGGGGATATCCCGATATGCGTTTACACGACCAAACATTCGGGTTAGAAAAGGGTTACCCCAGGTGTAGTAAACGGGTTATTTAAAAACCCGGTTATGAGCACATCCGGGTTTCTGGCGGTGTTTACACGGACCTGCGGAACCGGGTTATTGTGAATATTCGGGTTTTAAAAGGGTTACTGGCTGCATGTAAACGCACTGACTGTGAAAGGCCAGTCTGCCTCTGAAGGAGCTGTCCATGGTCTCCACAGTGGAATGCAGTGGGTGGGAGGGGTTTTCTAAGATGGTGCTCATCTGCACCAGCATCCTCCTTTCACACGTCTCAACTGTATCCAGTAGGCAGCTCAGAACCAAACAGCTTGTTCAGTCTCTTCGTGGCTCGGTCAGAATCAGCTCCTCTAAATCCAAGACCATGGTCTTGAGTCAGAAAAGGGTAGAAAGCCTTCTCCAGGTCAGGGATGAGGTCCTGCCTCAAGTGGAGGTGTGTAAGTATCTCGGGGTCTTGTTCACGAGTGAGGGAAAGATGGAGTACGAGATCAATGGGCGTATTGATGCTGCGTCTGCGGGCGTTGTACGGTCTGTCACGGTGAAAAGAGAGCTGAGTCGGAAGGCGGAGCTCTGGATTTACCGGTCGAACTACGTTCCTACCCTCACCGACGGCCGGAGGAGCTGGCCCAAGTGGCTGGGGAGAGGGAAGTCTGGGCCTTCCTGCTTAGGCTGCTGCCCGAGACCCGACTCCAGGCAAGCGAAAGAGAATGGATGGATGGATAACTGACATTACTTTAGATACTTTTCATATTTATTGGCATATTGCCGATAGATAGTTTTACTGCTCATTTTAAAGGTGAGAACAAGAGGTGCTTAATGAAAATGACACACGATGAATAACTCAAAATAAACCGAAAAAACAGTTAGAAGAAAGATCAGCTGGTCCTGAACGGGAACACTGAGTCAGAGTCATTAGGTGCTGCTAATGTCAACAGGTAGGAATTCTGCAGCTCTCTTCCCATGGGAATGGATGATATTCTGTCCATTTAGCCGTTTTTTCCACTTGCAGCATCTCTCCAGACTATCTGAGCTGGTTGCTAGGAGATTGTACCGCTCTCATTGAGCCCACATACAGCACACATCAACATCACCCAGTGATAAAAACAAACAGGAGCTGCAGACTGTCCCTCTCTGAAATCATCTTGCTCATGGGCTCAATGGCAGCCAAGGTTCAGAAATACCTTTACATGAATGATAATAGTATGAGTCACTGGAGATAACATGTATTTCACTGGTTTCCTCCCTGAATCCTCCATGCTTGTATGCTGTTCCATCAGCTGATCTCTTTGGTAAAAGTGTTTTATTCCTTCTAATGGGCCATTCCCATCTGTACCGGGTCGGCCCGGGCCGGGTAGCGTAGGTTGTTTACATATCTGGGTGGCCTGGTATTTTTCCGGGCCAACCAAGGCTCATTCTCAGCCCTCTTCTCGAGGGGGTCTGCTTCAGGCCGACCAGGGCCAACACACCCACTGCTGACAGCAAATCCACACCTTCCATTAGAGCAAGCCTCTGATTGGTGGGTAGAATCAGCCCACTTGGGCTTAAGGCAAGGATGTGTGGAATCAACCGGGCCAGGCTGGGGCCGACTGGGGCTACCCGGCTCGGGCCGACCCGGTACAGATGGGAATGGCCCATAACACACACGCACG